AGGATCTAATATGGAATTCCACATGTAAAATTTAATAAGTTTGATGAAAATGTTTCATTGGCGTAAACAAATTGTTAACGATTAGTTAAATAACTTTTCAACCGTTTTAAAACATTGCTCGTTATACCATAGTTGATTGTTATACCATAGTATTTTAATTTTTCAGCAAGAATTCTATGATTAATGGTATCAAACGTCTTCACTAAATCAATAAATATTTCCAATGTAAGTTTATAAAAGTCAAATGAGTCTGATATACTTTTTGTAAGCTGAGTAATGGCATGCACTGTTTAATTTTTTTTTTTTAAATCCGTATTGCATGTTATATAATAAATTGTTTTTATTTGCAAGTAGAAGTAAGAAAGTTAATTTTCAACAAGTTGCTTAAAAATTATAACTTTATTTTTTAAAATTATAACTATATTTAAGTTAATTTGCTTGCAACAAAGTATAAGGTTTAGAGGGAAAATGTTAGTCTATCATAAAATCACGGAGTGAAGGTCGCGGATCAGAAACAAAGTCGAGAAACTAAGAAAGAGGATTTTCTTGTTTAAAATAAGATTAAAAATGATTTGGTGCATTGATCCAAATCCAGAGTACTTTGTTTAAGATATTGAAAAAAAATCGGGTATTCCTAAATCTACAATTCAAGAAGTCAAAAAGAGATATGGCTACAAAACAAGCGAAAAGCAGAAATTCTCTAGAAAATCCCAACAGCGATTCTGCAAAGACTAAATACCTGATCAAAAATTGTTACGAAAATATTTCACAAAAATTAAAAGCGCATAATAATAAATGATAAAACTTACTGCAAACTTGACTATTTTGCTTCCAGGCCAGCAATTTTGTACAATTCCGAAAGAAACAAATCCTGGTGTATTGCTAAAAACAGGTTAAACCAAAAATGTTTCTTAGAAAGTTTTAGCATGGCAAGCCATCTGTTCATGTGGCTTCAAAACTCAGCCTTTTTTTACAAACGAAAACATAAGTTGCAATGTTTACAAGTAAGAATGTTAAAAAAGCGATTTTTGGTGGCTTTTTTAAACATTTTGCATTACAGCATTGTGGTGCTGTTTTTGAGCCAAAACATATGAATCTAGCAAACGTGCTGCACCTTTATCCAATTAAAAATTTTTCGGGCAAGCATAAGGACTAAGCTGCGTAAGATGAGAAAAATAGCGAAAGGCATTAATCAATTTTATCGATTTTCGGGTGTAGCGTCAAGAAATTTTTTAATGCGGTGTCCGCACAAACCTAAAAATATTGTAATTAACTCAATGCTTTCTAAAATCTTTACTGTACTACCCTCTACTTAGAGAAAAATTTATTTTTAAAAAAAAAATTGATCAAGGGGTTTAAAATATTTCACTTGTCGCATAGGTCATTTTTATTCCACACAGTCTTTACATTTTGTAGATAATATTCGTTATATAACTTTGCTCCTGTATTACCAATTTTTTTTTAATGATATAATTTGAAGGATATTATTCTGATAAAATTGTACTCCGTTATTGAAAATTTTTATTATAGTACTCGGTGTCAGTTTCTATTTAGATTAGACCGGACTTTTTTTGAGATGTTGTTATTTTCTAGTTTTTAAAAAAATATTATTTAAGTGATTAAATCTATGAAATCGGCCTTAGTGCTGGATTCCAACAAAAATTATACTAGTATTTTCTGTTAATTTTTTACCTGGTGCGTTAAAAATATAACAAATTGAGTTTTATTTTTGTTTATAAATAACTCACGAGTTACGCAGAACGAACCCCTCCTCATTGTTGAACGTTTTTAGTTACAAGTCTCGACATGTAGCAGTTAGATTTTTTTAACTGGTAGATATATCTTCGAGGTTTTAAATTAATAAGTTACATCGAAATCCAAACTGTTCATGAGGTATATTAATGTTTTCATTAATATAATTAGTTAAATAATTTGTCTTTTTTTCAAAAATTCTGGCTAATACAGAAAAGTTCAAATGTAATTTAGAAAGTTTCGTGTAACATTAGCCTATTTTCATCTGGAAGGAGTTTTACTTTTTGACAGCAAACTATTAAAAATATTAGTAAGATTTAGACTGCTTAAGCTTGAATTTTTAATTCTGGAATTTTCCCATTCTGCAGTTAAATTCTTTTCTATTTTTTTAAATGATTTTTGAGTTTTTATGATTTTAAAATTAAATCCTTTTTGCCATATCCTTAAAAATACATCATGGGTATTTTATTATCTTTTTTTACATTTGAGGCAAATTACTCATTAAGAAGCGTTAGATCAATAATTGGTTTATTAGAGTCAGGGCTGTCTCAAGGAGAAAAGCGTAAGAGGTGTCTTACACTCTTTGGAAATTTTTGGTCAAAAATTAGTGAGCAAATTTGAACACTGGAGTCGGCAAACTTGGGTCTATAAGTGACACACGCCAAATGTCAGCCAACAAGTACCTGTTTTTTTTTTGTGCCTTAGTCGGTAAAAGTTCTTGTTTTTGGCAAATCTCTTTTTTCACTTTCCTCTCCTTCCTCTTTAAAATCTCTTTGCGACGCCACTGATCATAGTTGCTATCCCCATGTGAGCGCAACCTTTTTAAAGTATTTCCAACAATTTTAAAGGTTTTCTCTTAGGGCTTCAATAAATTTAACTTTCTTTGATTTTTTAAGTTGATTTTTAATTCTTTTACTTTTAGATTTTCATTTCATGACAAACTGATTTATTTTATTTTCTGAATAATTTTGCTAAAACTACCCGTTTTTTATTGTCTTTTTTATATCATTATATATCCATAAATTTTTGTGTTTTCTTGTTCGATAATTTCACAAAAAAAAAAAAAAATAAAGTTTCATTTCTTTAAAAATAACTCGAGAAATTTAAAAAAATCGAAAGATTTTTTTACAATCCACTCCAAACAAGATAATTTTTCCTCCTTTGTTGGTTTAGTTTTTTGATAGTTACTTGCTCTCCTCGTTACTTCATATCTTCCATACATTTATAAATATATTTATGAGTAACATTTATAGATATAAAATTAAATTAAAGTAATGACAAGAGCAAACAGGAGAAAACATTCTTACGATCAAGGCCCAATATGCAAATCCAGTTATTTACACTAAGCTTTCACTCAAAATAAATAATTATTAACAAAATTAAAATGCATTTATAAAAAAAAGGTCTTAAAGATGGATGAAGTTTGCGCTGAATGGATTCTTTAAAAAAAAAATCAATTGATAACAATATTCTATTTTGCTTAACATTTTTTAATTGGGTGAATTACAACAAAACCCAAGTGCAGTATTCGTGCGATTACAGTAGTATGTTTGCATTTATGGAGGTTGTTACTTAATCTATTTTTGTAAGTTAATAACCATTTTCACGTAAAGCTTTTTCTAAAAATGGAAAACTCCATACAAGAATACATACATTTAATTACTAGAAGGAACGCCTGAGTTGTTTAGTGCTAACAGAGCTCAGTTAACAATCCTTACAGCGTATGCACTTATTGGAATACATTAAAAATTGTGTATTCCAAAAGCTGTCTATCATACAGTTATGTTATAAACCTTCTAGCATACTGTCAAAGATAGTTAAGAATTGAAACGTACATACACTAAATGTACTTAATCTATCAATTTTAAATTTTTCTTTTTTACAAAACTAAATTTTTGGAAAGTTAGTTTACAAAAAGGTTTCCCCATTAAATAGTTCAACGTTAATAATTTGCAATCAAATGAAGAAGCGATCGACCGAAATAGAAAAAAAAAGCCGAAACCAAAATAAACCGAATTTTCGGGTATTTAAATTTGGTGCCAAAATCGAAATTTCAAAAAATATTTTACCGAAACCGATACCGAAATTTTGGCTAGTCAAAATTTATTTTATCAGAAAAAAATGTTTAAAAATGCAATTTTACATTTGTTTTTTTATACTCGTATTATGTTAAAATTATTTACACGTGTATCCCAAACTGAGACTTAATACATGTCGGGGATATAAGTTAAAAGCGAAATTTAACAACTAACAGATTTTTTCCGTAAAACAAGATTTTTTCGAGGTATTTTGTGAAAATTTTCAATATTTTTGTGAAAATTCCCAAAATACTTTGCAAAAATTCCTTAAAAAAAATTTCTAAATTAGATAAGTATCGGTTTTCGGTATGTTTTTCAACTGAAATTTTGGTTTTTACCGAATTTATAAAAAGTACCAAAACAAAAATTTCGATATCGTTTAAAATTGAAATTTTAAACGATATCGAAACCGATACCGAAACAGAATTTCGGTCGATCACTAAAATGAAATATAAACAATTAAAAGGTTTATACTTCATTTCAATAATTTAATAATAATTTACAAAAATTTTTATTAAAAACACGAAATTAAAATTTATATGATTGTATACCGTTGTTTACATATATAATCCTAGCTAGTACGTTTTGCTTGACCAATCTCGGCTGAGTTCTAACAACGTTGCTCCAATGTTGGCCTAACAAGTTGTTGTGGTTGGGAAATAATAAAGTCAAACCGAATGCACGTTGCTAAATACATCTTTTTATGCTTAATGACAGTATAAACTTCTAATTGCAATTATTCTAAATGACAGTATAACGTTCTCGACTAAAGTAGACCATTTAGTCTTGTTAAGATGATATTAAAACTAAAAAACATTTTTAAAAACTTACCGTGCATTATCCCTGTACCTGTACGATGATTTGAAACTACTTAATGAAGATAAAACAACTTTTAATAATTATTTCCAAACCATAAAATCATTATTTTCGTCTTTTAAATAAAGACAACATTTTTTTTAATAACTGAAAGTTTTAATTTGCAAAAATTGTCTTTTGCAAGAAAATTTACTAACCTGCTTATAGAGAAAGATATTTTCTTCCAAGTTTTTATTTACATATTTACACAAACACTTTAAATTTACTCGTAATTTTAAATTTTATTATAAAGAATTATTTTTCTAAAGAGATAATATATAAAATTATCAATTTTTAAATGTTTATGTTTTTTGGTTGTAATAACCAAGCCTTAATATCAAATGTTAACTCAAAAAGTACTAATTCAATCGGACTGGATTGAAACAGACCCTGGCTAAATAAATCTATTTAATATCTACGATTTTTCAAATTTCTACATTTTTTGCGCAAATGCTGTTAATACGGTACATGGTAATTCTAATAGAAAGTAAAAAGCAATTTTTTAGATAGGGCTAATATATCGACGTTGACAACTACCATAAATATTGGAATGCCACTAACAGCACCTGAGCAAAAGATGAGTTGAGTTGAAGCCTTTGAGGACAATACTCAGTATAGTATGGGTGATTTTACTTAATGCGTTTTTTAGATTTTATTATTTTCGTTTTCTCATCCATACACTAAGTAATTCATATGGAAAATGAATGAAATTTTAAGGATTTTCACACATTTTTAGATAAGGTGAAACAGGGCGAAATAAATGTATGCATAATTATAGCTTTTTAATAACAAGAATAAATATTTACGTTCGCTCATGATTAATTCGAGTTCTCAACTGCGTAATTGTAAAATCTTCAATTAACCTTGAATTTTTGAGAACATCTACAATTCTGCTTCTTGAAAGTGGTCCACCCAATATTAATTCTTTTCCTTCAGTTTTTAAAATATTTATTTGTTCAGCAGTCCAGCTTTTCCGATCAAATAATAAAACTTTCTTAGCCTATTTAGAAAATTACAGCTTAATAATAATTAAAATAATATTTTAAATATATAAAATAAAAAACATTGGAAAATAAAATAATGGTTTCAACTTATTAAAACTAAAAACAAAAATAAAACCTTTGTTTCCGGTTCTTCGGCTATCTTTCTTTTGAGGCTATTAAGTTTATCATAAATCTGCCTTGGTGAACCATGAATGGATGGAGATTTTATAATTGTAGATTTCACCTCGCTATATAGTGTTTTTCGAGAAATATTTTCTGGAAATAATACATTTAAAGAATTTGTTTCATCTTTTGTCCAGTACTTTTTAGGTGTATGAGTTTTAGAAGGATTAAAATGACTTTTACCAGACAAATTCTCAGTTATAGCCGGTTTATAATCGTTTTTTTGCTCACAATCTTCAACTTCATAATCATTCGATAGTGGGGAGCTAGGAAAACATTTCTGGACAATCTTTCCTCCACTAATAGCATTTTTTATTTGATTTTGGGTGTTGTAATGAATAGCTGCAGTCTTATCACTGTGCATCATTGCACCAGCAACTTTCTTTCTTTGATCATAGTATTCATCAAAAACTTTTGTTGAAGTTGTTTTACGAACAGTATTAGCACTGAGTTTTTTGGGTACAAAACGCCCATTAAAAATACCAGCTTTTACCCAAAGAGAGTTCAGCCTGCCACTAATATCACCAGGCGACATTTCTTTCCCTGACCATGATAAAAATACCTTATCTGAAGTAATGGAAGGTAATTTTGCCCTAACTAGATTAACAAAAACATTAATCCACTCATACTCAACTAAATTCAGAGTAACTCTTGCTGGTCCATATGTAGAAACAGTTTTATGATCCCAAACACTAATCATCATAAGCCCGTCAACAGGTCTTGATCTTTTGTATTCCTCCAAAGTCATATGTGCAGTAACACCTGATCTATGAGCACTAGAAAAATGTATAATAAATAAAAGATGATCCCTATAACTACAGTATTCAAACATGTTTATCTCTTTATTTGGATCGATCTTTAAATCCTCAAGCAACTTTTTTGCAATAATGGCGTTTTTGCTAGCCTCATACATTTTTACTTGCTCTGGGGTAATAAGCATCAACAAATCGTCTTCAGCTCTCTGATGCTTCCTTATGTTATCCCTACTTCGATATTTTTTCCTCCCGTCTTCTATATTAGAAATTGTTTGGAATACAGCCTCAAAAGTAAGGCCTAGCAAACGATATTTTAATTTAAGAATAAAAGAACAAAAATCTTTCAAAGAATTTAAATAACTTTTAATAGATCCTGCTTCTAACTTACGATCAACACAATATACTTGAAGATAGTTTTTTCTAATAATATCAGTATCGTTTTCAAATAGAACATCTATTGTGTTAGTTATACCAACAGCTAGAAACATCCTTTTTACATCATTTTTTACTTTCTCAATTGCTCGAAATTTCCTAGCTCTATCAGGCCCAGTTAGATAGCAGTAGAAATCAGTTAACAAAGCCTCAATAGATGGAGAAAGTTTTTTAGACACTTCTTCATCACACTCATCGGAAGGTATGTAGTCCTCATCATCACTATCATTATTGTCATCACTAACACAATGATGGTGGTTAACATCAACAGTTTTATTTTCTGTAACTATAAAATCAACAGGGTGCACAAAATTATTAGCATAAGAAGGCTCAATAGATAAATCATTTATTATTATTTTTGATGAATCATAACTTTCATTTTTGGGCTTTTCAAAATAAATGGGATTAATAGCAGTACCTGTATTATATTCCTGTAACTGTATATTTTCAGTGTTAGATATAGTTGCAGAAGAAAAATTCTTGAACTTTTTAAGAAGTTTACTTGGTGATTTTAGTGAAGTTAGTTCTTGTGACTCATATTTCTTTGCAGATTTTAGAAGAGAATAATACTCCTGACCTGGTTTATAGTTATGAGATTTACTCCTTAAATGTTCTCCGATATTTTTTGTTATTTTATAGCAATTAGGCAAAGGACATATTTTTTTAGTGTGATAATTTTTACACTTTAATGTAGATTTTTTTTTGCTATACTCTTTTCTTAAGTTATAGAGTCCAATAGCACCTTTGCTGCTTTCAATAGACCATTTGTGCTCAAGATGTAAATGAACCTTTAAGTTAACTCTTGACTCATTACAAACAGGGCATTTTTTTCTTTTTCCCTCTGATCTAGTAGCAAAAGTAAGTCATAATAAACACAGTTTCTTTATAGACTTATTTAAGTTTTTGATAGTTACTAAAACCTTAACGTTATATTTGTTTATCTCGGATGTCTGAATAAAACAAAAAAACTTGAACTATACAATAAACTTACTTTAAAATTGGAGTCTCAAACACCGCATTTCTTGATTCAATATCACTAAAAAATAGTATATTAAAAGAGAATTTACAATTATGTTGCTTTTGGTATTAACTCAAATAAATCAATAAAAAATTACTAAAGGTTTTAATCAAAACAACAATTTTTAAACAAGTTATTAAGTGACAAAAGAAAGAAAAACTTTAATATTTTCAGAAATTTGTAAACTGTTTGCACAGTTTACAAACTTTATGAAAATATCAAAGTAGGTTTTATAGCATGTTTATAGCAAACCACTTTTTGACAGAAGGATGCCCCAAATAAATTGTTTTTAGACATCAAATCTCAGGAACAAAGAAAACCAATGAAAAAAATTAAAACTTAAAAGAAAAAGAATCAAATTTTAAATAAAATAGTTATCAAACCTCAACAAATGTATAACATGTGTAAAACTCAGAGTTCATTATAACAAGAATATCACAATAATGTTAAGTATGTATTTTAAACTAATTAGGCTATATTTATTAGTCTTATTAATAAATCTTTAGAACTTTCTACTAAATAAAAAAACAGGGTTTTTTTTCAGGGCCTGAAAATTTTAATTGCTAAAGTTGAAAGAAAAATGGATTTACTAACTATTATCAATACAGATAAAACAGAGAAAAAAATTCTGAAACTCTAGATAATAAGTAGTTTTATTAAAATTTTTTTGTTGAGGTAATATTTAATACTTTTTCCCAACGGAATTCTATGACTCCACATTGGGTTGTTTAAAAGGTATTTTATATTGTCATTTTAAAATTTGAGAAAAATATTGTTAAAGATTTAAAACAAAATAATACAACAGGTAGACTTGAATTAACTTTCACAAAAGAACCCTTTTGATTTTCAACAGATTTCATGAACATTTAGCTTCAACCACATTATTTTTTGTTTAGGTTTTTCTGGAATAACTAATCCTAAAATTAAAACAAATCAAGAACAAATCTAACAGCTACCTTTGCATTGACACATCATAAATAAAGTCTTCACTTTGTGATTCAGAACCACTGAAAACAAAAAAGTTTAAATAATTAGAACTACATTTTAAAAATCAGAAATTCCTGCTCAATTCTGTAGTTTAAAATAATAAAACATATATTTATAAGTTTAAAATACAAACTGAGCTATAAAAGCTGACAACAATAAAAAATGGCTGTCATAAAAAGTAGCCTTTTATGTTCCTACAAATTTGTTAAAAATAGAGCTCCAACAACATTAGTTGTTGCTAATGCTCACCTTGATAACAAACCATCAAAATATAACAGCAATAAATCAAGTACAATACTAAAACCTTACTTTAGAATTGACACTTCAGAACTAAATTCTGCACTATGTGATTCTGAACAGCTAAAAACCAAACAATTTATAAAAGGAGGACTCAATTAAACAAAGACGAATTTTTGCATAATGCAAACTTCCAACATAATAAAATATATACTAACGAATTTAAAACTTTAAAAAACAAGCTGAGCTATAAAAGCTAACAATAACAGAAATGGCTGTCATAAAAGTAGCTTTTTACTTTTTAAAAGATTTGCTTGAATTAGAGCTTCAACAATATTAATTGCTATGACTCACCTAAATAACTTGCCCTTAAAATATAACAGCTGCAAATGAAATACTGTATTAAAACCTTACTTTAAAATTGACACTTCAGAAATGATTTCTTCAGTTTTTGATTCAGAAACACTATAAATCATAAAAAATTACACAATTTGAAAATACATAAAAAAAGAAAAGAAAATGCCTGCATTATGCAGTCTTTAAGGGTAATAAAACATATAATAAGAATTTAAAATGAATATAATGTGAATTTAAAACATTGAAAATCAAGGTTATAAAAGCTGACAATATTAAAAAATGGCTGACATGATAGTAGCATTTTATTTTAAATTGCTTTTTACTTTTTAAAAGATTTGTTTAAAATAGAGCTTCAACAATATTAATTGCTAAGGCTCACCTCAATAATTAACTTTTAAAATATAACAGCTGCAAATGAAATACTGTATTAAAACCTTACTTTAAAATTGACACTTCAGAAATGATTTCTTCAGTTTTTGATTCAGAACCACTATAAATCATAAAAAATTATACAATTTGAAAATACATAAAAAAAAAAGAAAAGAAAAAAGCCTGCATTATGCAGTCTTTAAGGGTAATAAAACATATAATAAGAATTTAAAATGAATATAATGGGAATTTAAAACATTGAAAATCAAGGTTATAAAAGCTGACAATATAAAAAAATGGCTGACATGATAGTAGCATTTTATTTTAGATAGCTTTTTACATTTTAAAAGATTTGCTTGAATTAGAGCTTCAACAATATTAATTGCTAAAACTCACCGAAATAACTTGCCCTTAAAATATAACAGCTGCAAATGAAATACTGTATTAAAAACTTACTTTAAAATTGACACTTCAGAAATGATTTCTTCATTTTTTGATTCAGAAACACAATAAATCATAAAAAATTACACAATTTGAAAATACATATAAAAAAAAAAAGAAAATGCCTGCATTATGCAGTCTTTAAGGGTAATAAAACATATAATAAGAATTTAAAATGAATATAAAATGAATTTAAAACAATGAAAATCAAGGTTATAAAAGCTGACAATATTAAAAAATGGCTAACATGATAGTAGCATTTTATTTTAGATAGCTTTTTACTTTTTAAAAGATTTGCTTGAATTAGAGCTTCAACAATATTAATTGCTATGACTCACCTAAATAACTTGCCCTTAAAATATAACAGCTGCAAATGAAATACTGTATTAAAACCTTACTTTAAAATTGACACTTCAGAAATGATTTCTTCAGTTTTTGATTCAGAACCACTATAAATCATAAAAAATTATACAATTTGAAAATACATATAAAAAAAGAAACATACATTAATATCTTTAAAACCTTAAATAGCATGCTGAACTATTATATCTGGCTATAACAAATTTATTTAAATGAGACTATTTATAACAAATTTATTTATATAAGACTATTTAAATGAGACTTTATTGGTTGAACATTATAATGATATTGGTAGAAATCTTCATTAACAAAAACAAATTATTATTTTTTTAATTTTGATTTGCAAACAAAACTAATTTGCTTAATTAAAAAAAATTGGCTTGTAAGTATTAAATAAACATGAGTATAACATCTCTATAATACTACTATTATAGATTTTAAATCAGAGTATAGTTATATATTTATTATGTATTTATATAAACACAATATAAATTACAAAAACTTTTGCATCAAATTAACTTTTTTCAAGATGTATTGATACATTTATTTTATGTATTACAATTGTTTATTAATATGTATTACATGTAAATTTTTAACAAACTTAAATTAGGCAGCTAGTTCTGTACTTCTTAGTCCTAACAATTTGAAAACATTCACCTATAATTATATTATTGGCTGATCGTTGGGTTACTTGATGGGTTATTTTGCTGAACTGAGTAATTGAAACATCACCAGATGATGAATATTGGAACATCATCAGATGACATATCTACGCAGCAGGATCAATGTTCAATTGGTATTGAACATTGATCCTGGATTTTACATCCATTTTTATGCATATAGAGTACAAATAGTGTCTAAAAAGAGTACTATCTAGATCTTTATAGTTTCTCTGCATGTATAAGTTTTCTCATATATATTACCATATTTATTATATGTAATAAACTTTATGCATAATACTAAATTTAAAATTGAAACTACAGCAGCTAATTCTGTGCCTTTTGATTCAAAATCACAAACCATCAGAGTGCGATTATGCCATTAACATGT